GATAAACTCACAGGTAGGTGTGTCCTGTATTGTCGCGACATATATGAGTAAAAGTGTCTTGATAAAGATATATTGTCAGTGTAAATCAGCGTTATAGTAAATTATATATTCCTTTTGGCCTTGATTTAAGTTTACACATTCGAGGAATCGGAGCAATCAAGTAAATCTGTCATTTTCACTCCCAATTCAGGCGCCATTCCTCGAAGTATATTATGCACGATGCATACGCTAAAACACTTACAAAACACGAACAACTCTACCTAAAGTTGTGAGAGAGATTCCGCTTCTTTACAAGTAACCTGCTTGTTGTGATTTGACTGCTGTAAGCCTTGTATTGAACACTGTCGTCGACTGCATTGTTTGAACATAATCGTTCAGGTAGGCAACCTGCATGTAGGACGGGTTATTTATAGAGATTTAACTGTGTCGGAGTCAAGGAGATCAAGGTGCAGGGGTGTCGGGTGCAATGAGTTGTGTACGCTGGTAGATAGCACAAGGTGTGGGATATACAGACAGCGTAAATAGTGTTTACTGATAGGTAGTACAAGAGGAAGATACGGGTGGAGTATAAAGTGTATACTGGTAGGTAGTACAAGAAGAGGAAGGTACGGGTGGAGTATATAGTGTATGCTGGTAGGTAGTACAAGAAGATGAAGGTACGGGTGAGGTATTTAGTGTATGCTGGTAGGTAGTATAAGAAGAGGAAGGTACGGGTGGAGTATATAGTGTATGCTGGTAGGTAGTACAAGAAGAGGAAGATACGGTTGGAGTATATAGTGTATGCTGGTAGGCAGTACAAGAAGAGGAAGGTACGAGTGGAGTATATAGTGTATGCTGGTAGGTAGTAAAAGAAGATGAAAGTACGGGTGAGGTATTTAGTGTTTCCTGGTAGGTAGTACAAGAAGAGGAAGGTACGGGTGGAGTATATAGTGTATGCTGGTAGGTGGTACAAGAAGAGGAAGATACGGGTGGAGTATATAGTGTATGCTGGTAGGCAGTACAAGAAGAGTGAGTGAGTGAGTCAAAATTTAACGTCGCATCGGCATTATTTCAGCCATATAGCGACGAGACCAAGCTAATATATACACAATTTAGTTATTTATGCAATGTCATATTTAAAAACAATTGATGACAATTAATGGACAGAGCCTTTAATAATGTCAGTTGCTAATAGCATCACACCAAATTTAAAAACAAGCATTTAATTATTCACATACATATTTAAAATTTATTATACAGACCAATTTCTTTCAAGTAATTTATGATGAGATGCCCGTTGACACGGGAAAAGAGATCTTTTAGATTTACACTTTGATAATGTGAATCCCTTGTGATTGCAAAGTCCACACAGTCAAGCAATATATGCTTGACGGTGAACCTTTCATCGCAAGGGATACACTTAGGAGGTTCGTCCTCATCTGTCTTCAGCAGATATTCGTGTGTAAACCGACTGTGGCCAATACGACACCGTCGTAAAACGATCTCGTCATGTCTTGACTGACAACCCAAGTAGTTATGACCGATTGTTGGTTTCAATTCGTGTAGTTTATTGCTTCCTACTTGGGTGTCCCACCTCTTTTGCATGAGATCCCGAGTATAAGATTTGATGGTTGGTTTGAAATCACTGTACGGGATAAAGAGTTGAGACAACGGTTTTTCAAGAGCTGCTTTAGCTGCAGTATCGGCTTTTGAGTTACCTGTTATGCCTACATGACTTGGTAACCAGCAAAAGACGATGTCACATTGGCCAGTAGAAAGATCATTATAGAGTTCTAAAATGTCAAGGATTATAGGATGATTTGAGGAGATACTTTTAAGTGCCTGAAGGCATGATAATGAATCGGAGAAAATGATGAAATTTTTGGATTGGTTTTGATGTTTGATATAGGTCAAAGCTGTAAAGATAGCTTTGGCCTCAGCAGTAAAAATTGAACTAGTATCTGGTATTCTTGAGGAGACAGTTCTGGATCCAATGACGGTGGCACTTGCAACTTTGCCACCATCCTTGGACCCGTCTGTAAAAACGGACCTGTGAGAATTATATTTGGAGCGTAATTGGTTATATGATTGTTGATATACCAAAGGATTGGTATCCGACTTTTTTAGATTGGTTAGAGTGAGGTCTACTTCTGGCTTCACCATCTGCCAGGGAGGAGAAGACAGAAGACGGTGAGGTGAAATAATATTTAAATCCAATTTAGCTCTAGTGATGTGTGTTTGAATTCTGATTCCAAGTGGTGGAACCAGGTTTGAGAGATTTTGAAACAGGTTTTCATATTGAGGGTGGAACACACAATTGTATGCTGGATTAGATTTATTTGAGTGCAATTTAGTGATATATTGCAGTGAAAGTTTAATGCGGCGCAGTTCGAGTGAAGGTTCGTCGGCCTCCACATACAAACTGTCCACAGGAGAGGTCCTAAAAGCTCCAAGACAGAGTCTTAGGCCTTGATGGTGTACAGTGTCCAATTTTTCTAAATTGCTTTTGCAGGCTCCACCATAGACAATGGAACCATAGTCCAGTTTGGAGCGTATTAACGATCTGTACAAGTGAAGGAGGGTGGTCTGATCCCCTCCCCACTCGGAATTTGAAACGACTTTTAACAAGTCGAGAGCCTTCAGGCACTTTGCCTTGAGATATTTAATGTGTGGTAAGAATGTGATATGACGGTCAAATATGAGGCCCAGGAATTTGGCCTCCTCTACTACCTTGATAGGAGTACCATCTAAAAATAAATCTGGATCCTTGTGAGGTTTGTATTTACGACAAAAGTGAATACAGTTTGTTTTGGATTTAGAAAATTTGAAGCCGTTTTCGTTGGCCCATTTTTGAATTTTGTTAAGACAGAGCTGTAGCTGTCTTTCTATTGTATTCATATTCTTACCACGACAAGAAATATTGAAATCATCCACAAAAAGTGAACCATCAACGCTATTGTTTAATACTTTAGTGAGACTATTAATTTTGATGCTGAAAAGGGTGACTGACAGTATGCTGCCTTGAGGGACGCCCTGGTCTTGATCAAATTGATCAGACAGGGTAGAGCCCACTCGTACTTGAAATTGTCTGTTGTTTAAAAAATTAGATATGAACTGAGGTAATCTGCCCCTCAATCCAAATTCATGCAAATCTTTTAAAACACCATGTTTCCACGTTGTATCAAATGCTTTCTCTAGATCGAAAAAGATTGATACAGTATGTTGTTTGTTGACAATGGAATTTTTAATAAACGCTTCTAAACGCACCAAATGGTCAATGGTACTTCTGTTTTTTCGGAAACCACACTGGATGTCACTCAGGAGGTTATTGGTCTCCAGGTACCAGACTAATCGATTGTTGACCATTCGCTCCATCGTTTTGCAAACACAGCTAGTTAATGATATTGGACGGTAGTTGGATGGATCTGTGTGATCCCGTCCAGGCTTTGGAATAGGAATAATAATAGCATTGTGCCACGAAGGAGGGAAATTTCCGGTTGTCCATATTTCATCAAATATATTAAGTAAAGTTTCCAAACATGAATCGGGCAAGTGTTTCAGGAGCTGATAGTGGATGTTGTCTGCTCCTGCTGCAGTGTCATGAGATTGTCCTAGGGCAGTATATAATTCATTGAGTGAAAATGTTTCGTTATAGTCCTCACCATTATCAGAGTTAAAATTTACTGTTTTCTTTTCCTGCTGTTTTTGAAACCTCTGGAATTGAGGATTATAGTTTGATGATGAGGAATGATTTGCCAAAGTGTCACCAAGTTTGTTGCCTATTTCAGATTTAGTTGTTAAAAGTGTATTACCATCTTTGAGATGGTGAACTCCAGATTTTGACCCTTTTCCCTTAATCTTTTGAATCATGTTCCACACCTTGGACATAGGTGTGCGGGAATTAATTTTTGAAACATAGTTCCTCCATGATTGACGTTTATTCTGTTTAAAGGTACGTCTCGCTTTAGCGCCCGTGATTTTAACGTTATTCAAATTGTGGACAGTAGGATGTCGTCGGAAATATTTTTCAGCTTTCTTCCTATTTTTCCTAGCTTGTTTACAAGTGTTATCGAACCATGGTTTACGTATATGGGGGTTTGCAGAGGACTTAGGAATGCTTTCGTCTCCAATATCATTTAATTTATCTGAAAAAAGTTGTATAGGATCAGGAACATTCCTGAAACTTTCAGGTTTTAGTTTTTCAGAACAAAGTGTTTGGAATAAAGACCAATCGGCCTTTGTAAAGTTCCACCTTGTTGAAGGTGGTTCGTCAGACGGATTTATAGTTTTAAGTATTGTTGGAAAATGGTCACTTCCACAAAGGTCATCATGGACAGACCATTCGAATTCATTTAAAATATTTGAATCTGTCAGTGAAAGGTCAAGGGCAGAGTATGTGCCAGTGGCGGGATGAAGATATGTGGTATTACCATCATTGAAGATACATAAATCATTGTTTGAGATAAAATCTTCAAGGACTTTTCCCTTTTTATTTATGTCAGTACTCCCCCATAGGGGATTATGACCGTTTAAATCGCCCATGATGATACAGGGCTTCGGGAGCTGATCGTACAAAGTCTGAAGATCTGATTGACGGATAGTTGAGGAAGGTGGAAGATACAATGAACATAATGTAAACACTATGTTTAAAGTAACACGGACAGCAACGGCTTGTAGCGTAGTATTGAGTGGAACAGGGCTATGGATAGTGCCCTGCTTCACCAGGATAGAGGCACCTCCAGTAGCTTTATCACCAGGAGGCGAAAACGAGTGGTAAGAACTGTACTGACGGATATCAAATAGATCTGTGTTTTTTAGATATGTTTCTTGGAGACAAAAAGCTGTCGGTTTAAAATCTTGAATTAAAAGTTGTATTTCATTAAAATTCTTCTTAAGACCTCTGCAATTCCATTGTATTATATTTTGTGGATTCATGGTGGTGCTTCCACGGGAGAAATGTCACGCGAACGTGAGGAAGACTTTGTGGTACTCCTATTGGTATCATGAGGAGATGGAGTTACCTCCATGTCAAGGGGACCAAAGGAGTTATGGACCTCTACTGGGACCTCTAAAGGAGAGGTGGCCTTTGGTGTTTGCAGCTGTTCTCTCAGCTGCTTCTTTTTCAATAATTTCTTTTCCCTGTTTGACAGTTTAACTGGTTCTGGTTCTGATGTTGCTTTAGGAGTCTGAGACTCAACATTTTTTACAGTCTTTTGCTTAGGAGTCACAGACGTAGGTGTCACAGCTGGTTTAACGAGTGAAGCAGTAGGAAGTGGCTGCACAGACTTGACCCATGTCAGATCAGTCTGGCAGTCGATAGAGGCAGTGGTGACAGGAGGACGAGAGACAGCAGCAGAGTAAGAGATAGAAGAAGTGGTTGCAGTAGAACCTGCAATCCTCTTCTTAGCTTCATAGTAGGAGAGGTTTTGCTCAGTCTTGATTTTCATGATCTGTAATTCATGTTGCCAGACAGGGCAGGATTTGGAAGATGCCATATGGCTCCCACCACAGTTCGAACACTTCACATCCTTCCTGCAGTCAGTGGCCTCATGCTTGTCACCGCAGCGGTAACAGACAGCAGAGGCACGGCAGGACTTGGATCCATGTCCAAACGCTTGGCAGGTGTAGCACCGGAGTGGATTGGGGATATACACCTCCACTCCAATGTTACAATAACCGGCTTTGATCGATTGTGGAATCTTCGAACGGGCGAAAGTGAAGAGATAGGTGTTGGTATCTACAACCAAACCATCCTTTTTGACCGTGAATCGTTTAACAGCTGTGACAGACTGTTGGACAAGTTCTTTGACTATTTCATCCTCGGTCATGCCGGACAGGCAGCGAGCCCTGTCACGGACAATTCCCTTGCATGAGTTCAGTGTCCTGTGTTCAGAGACAGCAACCTTGATATTTACAAACTCTTTCAAACCGAGAAGATTGATGGATTGCTGTCTCTGTGCACATTCCACAAGGAGAGAACCGGATCGAAGCTTGGTGACATTTGTAACCTTTCCGCAGGCACCAGCGATACCTTTGGAGATTGCAAACGGATTTAGTTTTATTGGTTCTTTGTCACAAGCTTCGATAATCAAAAAACGTGGCCAATAGTCAGATCGGTTGGTGGTATTTTCGTCAGGTGAATTGTCAGATTCTATGTATCTACGTTTTGAACCAGGGTGTTGGGAAGCCATGTCGAAAGGAAAATGATTCGGCACCCCTTTTCCCCACCCACCATGGAATGTCTACAAGGACAGTCTTATACTGCAGCGGATTTCCAAGCTGCAAAGACTGGGGATAAAGGGGTGGTATACTCCAGCAAATTTGACACGAAGAGCTATAGAATTCTACCAAATTAAAGGTCAGGCTGGTTCGGCCCATGACAATCAATTGGAGAAGTACAGAATTCGGAGGTCAGCATCACCAGATTGGCCCATGAGCCTCCGCCTTCTGGGCATAGGGCTCTAAGCAAGTTTTATAGATTGTTAGATATGATATACATTAAGGTTAAATTAATTTTTTTTAACATCAAAAGTGTGCATGAAATATTTTATGCACAGGGCATGACGTGACCAGCCGATTGATAGAATCGGGCCCATTCTACCGCCCGTCTAGGCAAAGTTAGGGTCGAAGTGGTGTGTTGGACTAAGGAGCACTATTTGCCGGCTCCGTCGCCCTCAACCACAAGAATCCCTTCCTCTGCCGACACAGGGTCGCAGCCCACGGCAAACAGGCTGCCCAATTAGGTCGCCTTTTACGACCAGCATTGGGGGACTGAGGACACATTCTTGTTTATCTTCCCCGGGTCCCCACGGGGACAGTACAAGAAGAAGAAGGTACGGGTGGAGTATATAGTGTTTGCTGGTAGGTAGTACAAGAAGAGGAAGGTATGGGTGGAGTATATAGTGTATGCTTGTAGGTAGTACAAGAAGAGGAAGGTACGGGTGCAGTATAAAGTGTATGCTGGTGGGTAGTACAAGAAGAGGAAGGTACAGTCGGAGTATATAGTGTATGCTGGTAGGTAGTACAAGAAGAGGAAGGTACGGGTGGAGTATATAGTGTATGCTGGTAAGTAGTACAAGAAGAGGAAGGTACGGGTGGAGTATATAGTGTATGCTGGTAGGTAGTACAAGAAGAAGAAGGTACGGGTGGAGTATATAGTTAATGCTAGTAGGTAGTACAAGAAGAGGAAGGTACGGGTGGAGTATATAGTGTATGCTGGTAGGTAGTACAAGAAGAGGAAGGTACGGGTGGAGTATATAGTGTTTGCTGGTAGGTAGTACAAGAAGAGGAAGGTACGGGTGGAGTATATAGTGTTTGCTGGTAGGTAGTATAAGAAGAGGAAGGTACGGGTGGAGTATATAGTGTTTACTCATAGGTACTACAAGAGGAAGGTACGGGTGGAGTATATAGTGTATGCTTGTAGGTAGTACAAGAAGAGGAAGGTACGGGTGGAGTATATAGTGTATGCTGGTAGGTAGTACAAGAAGAGGAAGATACGGCTGGAGTATATAGTGTATGCTGGTAGGCAGTACAAGAAGAGGAAGGTACGAGTGGAGTATATAGTGTATGCTGGTAGGTGGTACAAGAAGATGAAGGTACGGGTGAGGTATTTAGTGTATGCTGGTAGGTAGTACAAGAAGAGGAAGGTACGGGTGGAGTATATAGTGTATGCTGGTAGGTAGTACAAGAAGAGGAAGATACGGGTGGAGTATATAGTGTATGCTGGTAGGCAGTACAAGAAGAGGAAGGTACGAGTGGAGTATATAGTGTTTGCTGGTAGGTAGTACAAGAAGATGAAAGTACGGGTGAGGTATTTAGTGTTTCCTGGCAGGTAGTACAAGAAGAGGAAGGAACGGGTGGAGTATATAGTGTATGCTAGTAGGTAGTACAAGAAGAGGAAGGAACGGGTGTAGTATATAGTTTATGCTAGTAGGTAGTACAAGAAGAGGAAGGAAACGGGTGGAGTATATAGTGTATGCTGGTTGGTAGTACAAGAAGAGGGAGGTACGGGTGGAGCATATAGTGTTTGCTGGTAGGTAGTACAGAACGAGGAAGGTACGGGTGGAGTATATAGTGTATGCTGGTAGGTAGTACAGAACGAGGAAGGTACGGGTGGAGTATATAGTGTATGCTGGTAGGTAGTAAAAGAAGAGGAAGATACTGGTGGTGTGAATAGTGTATGCTGGTAGGTAGTACAAGAAGAGGAAGGTACGGGTGGAGTATATAGTGTATGCTGGTGGGTAGTACAAGAAGAGGAAGGTACAGGTGGAGTATATAGTGTATGCTGGTTGTTAGTAAAAGAAGAGGAAGGTACGGGTGTAGTATATAGTTAATGCTAGTAGGTAGTACAAGAAGAGGAAGGTACGGGTGGAGTATATAGTGTATGCTGGTTGGTAGTACAAGAAGAGGGAGGTACGGGTGGAGTATATAGTGTTTGCTGGTAGGTAGTACAAGAAGAGGAAGGTACGGTTGGAGTATATAGTGTATGCTGGTAGGTAGAACAGAACGAGGAAGGTACGGGTGGAGTATATAGTGTATGCTGGTAGGTAGTACAAGAAGAGGAAGATACGGGTGGAGTATATAGTGTATGCTGGTAGGTAGTACAAGAAGAGGAAGATACGGGTGGAGTATATAGTGTATGCTGGTTGGTAGTACAAGAAGAGGAAGTTTCTTGTGGAGTATATAGTGTATGCTGGTAGGTAGTACAAGAAGAGGAAGGTACGGGTGGAGTATGCAGTGTATGCTAGTAGGTAGTACAAGAAGAGGAAGGTACGGGTGGAGTATATAGTGTATGCTAGTAGGTAGTAACAGAAGAGGAAGATACGGGTGGAGTATATAGTGTATGCTGGTTGGTAGTACAAGAAGAGGGAGGTACTTGTGGAGTATATAGTGTATGCTGGTTGGTAGTACAAGAAGAGGAAGGTACGGTTGGAGTATATAGTGTATGCTGGTAGGTAGTACAAGAAGAGGAAGGTACGGGTGGAGTATACAGTGTATGCTGGTAGGTAGTACAAGAAGAGGAAGATACGGGTGGAGTATATAGTGTATGCTGGTAGGTAGTACAAGAAGAGGAAGGTACGGGTGGAGTATATAGTGTATGCTGGTAGGCAGTACAAGAAGAGGAAGGTACGAGTGGAGTATATAGTGTATGCTGGTAGGTAGTACAAGAAGATGAAAGTACGGGTGAGGTATTTAGTGTATGCTGGTAGGTAGTACAAGAAGAGGAAGGTACGGGTGGAGTATGTAGTGTATGCTGGTAGGTAGTACAAGAAGAGGAAGATACGGGTGGAGTATATAGTGTATGCTGGTAGGCAGTACAAGAAGAGGAAGGTACGAGTGGAGTATATAGTGTATGCTGGTAGGTAGTACAAGATGATGAAAGTACGGGTGAGGTATTTAGTGTTTGCTGGTAGGTAGTACAAGAAGAGGAAGGAACGGGTGGAGTATATAGTTTATGCTAGTAGGTAGTACAAGAAGAGGAAGGAAACGGGTGGAGTATATAGTGTATGCTGGTAGGTAGTACAAGAAGAGGGAGGTACGGGTGGAGTATATAGTGTTTGCTGGTAGGTAGTACAGAACGAGGAAGGTACGGGTGGAGTATATAGTGTATGCTGGTAGGTAGTACAGAACGAGGAAGGTACGGGTGGAGTATATAGTGTATGCTGGTAGGTAGTAAAAGAAGAGGAAGATACTGGTGGAGTGAATAGTGTATGCTGGTAGGTAGTACAAGAAGAGGAAGGTACAGGTGAAGTATATAGTGTATGCTGGTTGGTAGTACAAGAAGAGGGAGGTACTTGTGGAGTATAAAGTGTATGCTAGTTGGTAGTACAAGAAGAGGAAGGTACGGGTGGAGTATATAGTGTATGCTGGTGGGTAGTACAAGAAGAGGAAGGTACGGGTGGAGTATACAGTGTATGCTGGTAGGTAGTACAAGAAGAGGAAGATACGGGTGGAGTATATAGTGTATGCTGGTAAGTAGTACAAGAAGAGGAAGGTACGGGTGGTTTATATAGTGTATGCTTGTAGGTAGTACAAGAAGAGGAAGGAACGGGTGTAGTATATAGTTAATGCTAGTAGGTAGTACAAGAAGAGGAAGGTACGGGTGGAGTATATAGTGTATGCTGGTTGGTAGTACAAGAAGAGGGAGGTACGGGTGGAGTATATAGTGTTTGCTGGTAAGTAGTACAAGAAGAGGAAGGTACGGGTGGAAATAATAGTGTATGCTGGTAGGTAGTACAGAACGAGGAAGGTACGGGTGGAGTATATAGTGTATGCTGGTAGGTAGTACAAGAAGAGGAAGGTACGGCTGGAGTATACAGTGTTTGCTGGTAGGTAGTACAAGAAGAGGAAGATACGGGTGGAGTATATAGTGTATGCTGGTAGGTAGTACAAGAAGAGGAAGATACGGGTGGAGTATATAGTGTATGCTGGTAAGTAGTACAAGAAGAGGGAGTTTCTTGTGGAGTATATACTGTATGCTGGTTGGTAGTACAAGAAGAGGAAGGTACGGGTGGAGTATATAGTGTATGCTGGTAGGTAGTACAAGAAGAGGAAGGTACGGGTGGAGTATACAGTGTATGCTGATAGGTAGTACAAGAAGAGGAAGATACGGGTGGAGTATATAGTGTATGCTGGTAGGTAGTACAAGAAAAGATAGTTTCCCTTTGAACTATTGAATCAGTATAACTTTCTAATGTACATGGCTATGGCTATTACAAAATTGGCATTGTCACCTCCTCTAATTCAATGTTCAGAGATATGACCTCTTTTTTTTAAGAACTTTTTTTTCAGTTTTACTGAGACAAAAGAACAAAAACAGATACAAAATAGATTAATTTCTAATTCCGTGTATCACACGGTCACTGTGTTTATAACCGTCCTCATGAGCGATACAGCCAATTCATAAGTCTAATGCAGTCTGATTGGCGGCATTTCGACGTCAATACACTAGTTGATTATGAAATATGCATACAAATGACGGCTCCGATTACTTAGTGTTTGCTAGAGCATTCACCGCATCAGTAGGCATGCATTAGGCACAATGCCCTGTTGACATTCAGTGTCTCCAGAATAAGAAAGGCAGTCTAGGAAAACGTTCTAACAACCAGCATCATTATTCAATACTACAATATCACAACATGTGTCTCAAGGAATCTTTATATTTAAATATTCAATAATCAGTTGTAATGTGATTGCCTGTTTTAATTCAAATACATCATGGATCAAGTGTAAATGCTTAGGTTTAGTCCATTTATTTTCGTGAAATCAATGTGCCATTATTGATTAACTGTTCGCATTATTACAATTTTAAATACAATGTTCTCGTTGTAATAGAGACAATGCTCTTCTCTGTTCCAGAATGGACACCTTCCCGAAGTGTTCTGTCTGTCATCAGGAGTTTACACTGAAAGGTCCAGTCCCCTACTTACTGCCCTGTCTACACGCCGTGTGTGAGAAGTGTGTGACATCTGCAGCTGTCGGTGTGATATCATGCTCTACATGTCAGAGGGAGGTCAACCTCACAGACACAAGTCTCCAGAAGGACGCAGTCAGACAGAAGGAAATATTCCACCTGACCGTCAAACATCGCCCCACAGAGATCCTCTGTACACATGAAAATGATGGCAATCAGGCTGTGTGTTGGTGTCAGGAGTGTGAAGAGTTCCTCTGCGAATACTGCCAGAACTTGCACAATGGTTTTAAAGCTACCAGAAGACATGTTGTTGAAACCTTTCGGGATACGGGGGACATGTTTGTAGAACAAGTATGCAAACTTCACAATCGTTATCCTCTTGAATATTTTGATAAAAACTGCAACATTTCAATTTGTGCCAAATGCAGGCTTGGCGAGCATTCCGAGCACGACGTTGAGGATTTAGATCTGGCTGCTGATGCTGCAAAAGGACGGATAGAACAACATGGGAAGAATGTGACCGCCCATCATACTTGTCAACAAGCATATTTGAAGAGCGTCAGCAAAGTCGTAAATGACACAAAGAATACAAGTAGTGCTCTTAAGGAGGCCATCCACCACACTTTCCTTTCTCTGAGGACACAACTTGATCAAAGAGAGAAGGAGCTGGTCATAGATCTGGAGAATCAGACGAAACAGGAACTGTCAAAGCTGCACACTATACAAGCTACCTCTGAAGGCGAGAGTAAAAGATGCAAGTGGACTTCAGACTACATCAGGACAGCGCTCAGATATGCTTCAAACTCTGACTTTCTCACACTGGAGAGTTCGATACAAGATACAGCGAAGACGCATCTCAGATCAGTTCCACCTGAGACACACAGTGCACCCGCAGCCAGTTTCAACACAGGGGGCCTGGAGAAATTGAAATCCTACATTTCTGACTTTGGGTCTGTCAATGAAGATGGATCAGCAGCTCAGGCACATACACTTGCAGGTACTTGCTTCTTACTCTGGCGATAGTTCATTTTGTATATGAAGATTGATTGAAGCTTTGTATAAAACAAACAAGGAGTGGGTATTTGAAAACTTGGCATTTAAAAGTTGGTAGAACACGATGACATTAAACTTTATTTTTTTGATTACTACTGAATACTGTGTTATCGAATTTATGTTGATGTTCAGTTAAAGATGGGTTGCTTATAAGCCATCTATACATTATCAACAACACCTCAGGGAAAAGTCAAATAACTCATCGATTTGTAACAGTTGCGTGTGTTTATTGTACAGATCAAGGGACACAGACAGACGATAGCCATCTAACTGACCTGGACAACAAATACAAAGATGTAAGTATTCTCATTCAGCAAACGTGTGTACATACGAGTCGTTTTTTTCTGATGTACGAGTTTATATTAAATTTAGCATTTCACGATTGACTTGGTACATGTCATGTCAAGTGACGCCTGTATCTCATATTCAAAACAAGCCTACTGTTATGTGATTCTTGGATTTTTTTGTTCTAAGCTGAAAGTGCTGGAGGTAGCTGACGATCCAACTCCATTGGCAAGTTTTGGTAAGATACGTTTCATTAGTTTGAAAACAATAACAATACAAAATAACGTAGCCATGTATAGGCCTTCAGTTTTCATGCTATATTTCACAGGCTATATTTTCAAAAGCACAAAATGCCAAAACACATATAGGTTTGAATAATCTTAAGATGACCTTGTAAGCTTTTTACAAATATGAATTTGAATAATTCAATTTTTCACAGATTTAAATTTTCAATTTCACATGATATTATGATATGTGTAAATTTAATGGTTAAAGATCTGATACTGAATGAGTAGTGTACAGCAGTTGAATGGGGGATGGGGTGGGGGTGGTGGTGGGGGTGGGGGGGGGGGGGGGGGTGGGGTCGGTGGTGGGGAGGGGTAGTTAGATTGGGATTTTTCTTTTAACCACTGTAGTTATTTAACGGCCCCAGTTTTGTCTTTGCAGATATTTTGTAGTGTACAAAGATGGTGTATTCCGCTCGTGAAACATCTCAACATCTAACTTAATGTTATATATGTGTGAGCGCATTTATGCTTGTTCTTTTATCTACAAATTGTTTTGCAGATGCGGGTGATAAAACCTACACTCTGAAAACAGGAACGAAGACACCGGTGACTCTGAAGTGTGAGTACAATCATATGCGTGCTTGGCCGTGTTCCACACTTTACATGTTTCGTTGCTCGCCCTTAACGGACAGGATAGGTTACTGGGTGAAGCGCTTTTGCCTAGTCGACAGGGCACTGCTGAAAACGTTTCACGAAGTATAAAGTGATTGGTGCATCACTGAAATCCACCACGTTACTGTGCGTTGTAATGTTTCCATTTCCTAAACACAAGGCATGGAACAATGTACTGTGTCTAGTGGTGTTGACCATCTTCTGAACACAGAAGAAGGCACGGGTCTACTGATGTTATCCACCATTTTCAGCACAACACGGTACAGGGTCCAGTCATGTTGTCCATGTTCTGATACTGGGTGTAGTGATGGTGTCCGCATTTTAAACACAGGGCATGGTACTTGGTGTAGTGATATTGTCCGCCCTTTAAACACGGGGCATGGTACTTGGTGTAGTGATATTGTCCGCCCTTTAACACGGGACATGGTACTTGGTGTAGCGATGTTGTCCGCCCTTTTACCACAGGGCATGGGACTTGGTGTAGTGATGTTGTCTGCCCGTTAAACACGGGACATGGCACTGGGTGTAGTGATGTTGTCTGCCCTTTAAACACGGGACATGGGACTGGGTGTAGTGATGTTGACCGCCCTTTCAACACAGGGCATGGTGCTTGGTGTAGTCATGTTGTCCGCCCTTTCAACACAGGGCATGATACTTGGTGTAGTGATGTTGTCCGCCCTTTAAACACAGGGCATGGTGCTTGGTGTAGTGATGTTGTCCACCTTTTAAACACAGGGCATGGTACTTGGTGTAGTGATGTTGTCCGCCCTTTAAACCCGGGGCATGGTACTTGGTGTAGTGCTGTTGTCCCCCCTTTTATCACGGGACATGGTTTTTGGTGTAGTGATGGTGTCCGCACTTTTACCACAGGACATGGGACTGGGTGTAGTGATTTTGTCCGCCCTTTAAACACGGGACATGGTTCTTGGTGTGGTGATGCTATCTCCCCTTTTACCACGGGGCATGGTACTTGGTGTAGTGATGGTGTCCGCACTTTTATCACAGGGCATGGTACTTTGTGTTATGATGTTGTCCGCACTTTTATCACGGGACATGGTACTTGGTGTACTGATGTTGTCCGCCCTTTTACCACCGGGCATGGTACTTGGTGTACTTATGTTGTCCGCCCTTTTACCACAGGGCATGGTACTTGGTGTAGTGATGTTGTCCGCCCTTCTACCACGGGACATGGTACTTGGTGTGGTGATGCTATCTCCCCTTTTTGCCACGGGGCATGGTACGTGGTGTGGTGATGCTGTCTGCCCTTTTCACATGGGGCATGGCACTTAGGTGGAGTGATGTTATCCGCCCTTTAAACACGGGACATGGTACTTGGTGTGCTGAGATTGTGAAACCTTTAAACACAGGTCATGATACAGCGTGCTGTGATGTTGTCCACCCTTTAAACACAGGACATGATACTGCGTGATGTTGACTTCCCTTTTAACACAGGACACGATACTGCCTGCATGTCTGTAGTTTCTGGACATTTCTGGTGTCTGGTCGCATGGACGTTGTCGAGTTTCTCACATTGTTTACTGAAGATCTATTATGAAAATCCAGATTGTCTTGAAGACTTAAGAACCTCCCTCGCCCACGGGGACATTATATTTTGGTGCAGGGCGTTGCACCTCTTTGGTTAATGGCATTCACAAATGCTATATATCAAAATTTGATCCCTTGTAGTGTATGTTGTTTTAAGTGAGTAACTTAGTATTGCCCTGACTGGCAGAGGCGTTAGATAGTTAACACTCTTGTAACACTGAAATTGCACTTCCAAGATAACGCTCATGAGAAATAGCGAAGTGGGCGTAAACGTTTCACGATGCGGCCGACAACAACTCTGGAGGAAGCAACGAGTAGGTAATGTCCCCATCTGCAGGTTGGTAGATATGTGTGCACACGGCGCGCGTGTGTGTCCCAGAAGAGCTGACCCAACGAGAATCGTGTAGGGGGAGAAAACGTGACAACGCCCAAGCCTGTCATGTATGCCATGTAAACTGCGACACGGAGATATCTCGTTAGTCGTTTGTTTAAACACAAGACATGATACTGTGTGTACTGAGGTTGTCCACCCGTGAAGTTTCGTCACTAACAGCCACGGAGATCTCTCGTCAATTGTTGGAATAAGAGGATGACACGAAGCTTGGAGAACTAGTCGTTATTTTGTTCATCAACGACTTTAACACTGCAAACACGAAAACGTCGGTTTTTTCCGTATATGGTCATTGGACGGAAAAACGACTAAAAATTCATTAAAATTGATTAATTGGTGAGCGTCTAGAAAGTGTGCAGAAAAAGGGTCGAGTTTTTCAAGCGTAAAATGGACGGAAAAACGATGCTTTTTGCTCCGCCTTGTACAACTGTTAACGGCCAATCAGATGGCGCTGGTCCCCCGACGCACGTGATTCCTAAGGCTTCCTTTCGAAAGCTTTAGGTTTCGTATTTCTGGCATGCCTTGCTCTACTATCTGTCGCGCGCAGTGCAGCGAGATTTGCTGATAAGCCAGTTTTAGGATATGTAACATGTTAATGGAATTCAGGCACGCGCCAAGAAGTCAAACCAAACAATGTTACCAAGTTTATTGTGGTAACATATGCCTCGGCTATGAACAGTTACCCCTATCGGATAATGGGTTGTGTTTCATTTGGTTATAATAATAACTAATTTTTTAATGTGAAGTTTACAAGATATACGGCTAGGACGAGAGGTCGGTCACATGACGTTCCTGGCGTGACTGTATTCTTGAAAAGGCGTAAACACTGACTACTTCCACATTCCTGGAGAAAACCCTTGGAATTTCCTGGTACGAATTCATACAGAAGCGTGGTTGCATGCCCATTTAAGGATACCCTCGCTACAACCCATCCCAGAGAAAAAACTTAACGAAAAAAACATCCAAACTATCGTAGTGACAATCTACAGCAATCTATGAATTTACCTTAGTATCTATTTTACAATCACCTTTCAACGATCGGCCAATTGATCAGTGATGACAAAGGCTTGAAATAGCCACAGGTTAATTAACAACTTCGGAAATATCTCCCGTCACGTTTATCGTGTCGGCCATTTTGACGTCTTGTACTTGATGTAAATATAATGTATTACGACGCTCTGTCATTGTAATTGACTTACTGAGGTAATTCTGAAAAAGATCTTCTCATCTAATGAGGATATTATTTGGAATATTTTTCTTGTAAACATACTAAAACATGAGGTGTGTGTGTGGGGGGGGGGACTATTTTATTCCGGGATGGCCTATTAAAGTTAGCAGTAAGTCAAGGCACCATGCGTGTATATGATCTGTTATTACATGACTGTGTTTAAATTACGGTTTGGGGCGTTAATAAAATACACTGACGCAAGTATATTCTATTCAAATCAATTGGATAATTGAATATGCTTTCTTTTACATATTACATAACAGCACTGCACAACATTTGAACAGTTGCAGTAACACACTACGGTAATCGCATTAAACACCATTTTCAACTCTACAGTATTTCAGTATTTCAGTTATATCACGGTGTACAGACTGATGTGGGATTAAAATCCGAAGTGGTTCAGGCCATCCAACGGGTGTTCGGGAAAAGGTGAGCGTATCCTGCCACACAAGTGGCACCCGTCACAAACACATGCAAGGACAAGTCAATTGTTCACCTGAACAAAGCACGGAAACACACAATGATGCCCGTCCTCACTTTTACCGAGCATGTAAATTATATTGTCCGTCAAAAACATGGACGAGTATAAACAATATGTTCATTCACGTAATACATGTCATACATTTTGACAAAATGTATTGACTCGGAGCATTATTGTTAATCACAACGTATAGACTCGGCATGCAGATGAACTCATCACCCATCCCATTATTGATAATCCTTCTTGAAGAGCTATGAAATCAGAAGCTGCAACACTTTATCTTTTAATTGGCATGTCAGACTTCTATTTCATAACTCAGTTTTATTTGCACGGATCACTATGGAAGGGACATTGTCGCATTGACGCCCTGACAAAAACAAGCAAAACGTGCCAAAATTAACAAAAGCGCGACAAGTGGCCATTTGTCGCATTGTCGCGTGTTTGCATTGTCGCTCTTTGAATAATCCTTTTCTTTATTTTACAAAAGGGCGACGATGCCGTAACGCGACATTTTCAAGGTCAAAATATGTCTCGTTGTCGCATTGTCGCCCCATCACAAATGTGTATAAAAGGCGTAAAGTTTAGTTAATGTTACAGTTAGGAAGCGGTAACCAAGTTACATCTGTCGTAGAAGTTCAACCTGATACATGTAAGTCTTGAAATGAAAACAGAAGTCCGTCCGCGAGTCCATAACGTTTTATTGTGAGCTCTTCTCTAAAAGTGCTTAGTGTTCGACTCCAAGTTCCAAACACGTAGTACCTCATCAACAATCCACATAACTCTAGTGCAGTGGTCTTCCGGAAGATCTTAGTCTTGACCGCATTAGACAACTGACGAGTGCATGCCTGACCTGTGACCTCGTTGCAACCCTCATGAGGTGTTTGCCGAAGGGAGAGGGGTAGGAAATGTGCAGAGCTCGCGACACACTGTATACTGAATGTTGTATACAGTATATTGCAGTTGATATACTGTATACTGCATGTGATACTTATTAGCGGATGTTACAACTTTCAAGATTCAAGATTCAATTTGCATTTATTTCATATACAACAGACCTCCATCATATCACTGGAATACTGCTGAGAGCGGCGTTAAAACAATTTGTTTTCATAATGGAGCGCTGCAGTCATTTAAAATAGAACTGTAAACATATGTAGTACCAACTCACTCACTCTGTTTCGAATATTCAGCAGAAAATATATTATTAACCAGGTCTTTGGGAAGATATATCAGATTTTTATAAGCAGTCACAGGGATGATAAAGGACCCCTCGCTGATTAGGTTCTTGTTTACGTAAGAGCA